CGTCCCGGCCGGCCGCCGGCTCGCGAAGCTGCGGGCGCGGGGGGCGCGGGCGCGGAGGGCCGGGGGCGCGGGCGGCGGAGGGCGCGGGGCGCGTTCGGCTGCCACGGGACGGGGGCGGGCGGTGGGGCGTCTTTTGGGGTCTTTATATCCACATCGGACTCGTCTGTACGAGTTCTTTTCTTTGCGCATTTTGCTCTAGAGCGATTATTAAAACCAATCAGCGTAAGCTCTTTATATGTCAGATAAAAAAGAGATGAAAAAAAAAGAAAAAATTGAAATAAAAAGGAAATAAATAAAACCAATCAGCAATACTTTTTGAGCAGCCCGTGATGTGTGGCTTGTACCGCGGCCCTGGGTGGGAAGGGACTTGGCTCTTCCTAAACACCCCGGGCAGAGGAGGTGGGGGTGTGGGGATTGAGCAGAGTGAGGGCCAGTGGGACCCGGAGCCCGAGCCCAGCCCCACCAGGAGTTTGACTTTTGTAATAACGCAGGGAAGCACTGAAGGATGGCAGCGGGGGTGGGCGGTGGAAGGGGGTTTGCATTTGATAAGAATTTTTTTTGGCCGGTTAGGAGGCCCCTGGGGCCCTGCAGCCAGAGGCGCGGGCTGTCTCCCTTGGACAGGGGGAGAGTGGGTAATTCTAGGGCCCTTTTAGAGGTAGCCTCGGTTGGCAGGAGAGGAAAGGGTCAGGGCTGAGCCTCAGGAGTCTGGCCAGAGCAGCCTAGCAGGGAGGACGGACATAGAAACCAGGAGATTAGGGACAGACTGGGGCGGGGGTCACTGGTCCTGCGGTAGATGGTGGGACAGAAGGGGAGGGGGCTTGAGCTCCTTCTGGTGGCCGGAGCCTAGAGGACAGGGACTTTGGAAGAGTTCTGAGTTTTCCCCTGGGGGCCAAGGGTAGAGACCTCCCCACCCCAGCAGGCAGATAAAGAGGCCGGGCACAACCATGAGAGAGATGCTCCTAGTTTATTGAAGAGGGAAAGGCAGGGCTGCTGGGTGTGGAGTCCAGGAAGCACAGGGCACAGGCAGTTGGGGAACCTTGGCTTCTAAATCCGATGGGTTTCGGATTCCTGAATGCTAATCACACATTGAGCTTTGGACTACTTTTTCCTAAAACAAACAAAGAAAGAAAGAAACAAAAAGCCCAACACAATAGTGAATGAACCACAAAGTTAAACAGACATAGATGACAATACACAGAAACTTTAACCTCAACTGAGAGGTACAATAAACTGTGGCAGGAACTAAGATTGTAAAAGGGCTTGGATTATTTCTCAAAAGCCTCTTAAAAAAGGGAAGGGGAAATGCCTGGAAAGATCACTGTGCCTGCTTGCCTGGGGACATTGGCATTGTGACTCTCCTCTTTGGATTAGAAAGTGTCTAAAAAATAGGGTGACATTGCAGCTTAGGGGCTTGGGGCAGCCACTCTGACCGGTGTGGGTGAAGAACGCAGGTCACCATCAACCTAAAAATGTCGCCTCTGGTCTTCTCGGGAAGGGTGTCCGCCAGTTTGTCTGCAACTCAATGGCTGCATTTCTCATGTCCCAATTAGGGCTGACATTTTCCAGCACAGTCTCAAAACGGGGGAGCGTGTGCCTGAAGAGGGATTCGAGGATTTGTGGAAAGCTTGGGCAGATCTTTGCAGAAGCTAGAACACAGAAAAGAGAAAGCACATGTGTCCAGGTCCTGTTCAAGCCGGCCAGCCCTCTGGCCGGGGCTGCCTGGATGCAAACAGGCCCGTCAGCAAGAGATAGCAGCCTTTCATCGGTGGAGCGGGATGTGAAACTTGGTGGTGCTCTACGCAGTTGACTATTTGGCACGGCATGAATACTTTGTAGATTACAGCCAGCTTTTTGTGGCTTGCCTTAGTCTGCCGTGGACTTCCTGGGTTGGGGCGGGGCAAGGTGCCATTTGTCCGTTCTGCTACAGTTCTCCGCAGAGCGTGATGATAGAAGCTGTTGCTGCGATTTGGTTGTGCAGCGTGGGGGCTGGGAAGAGGCCACTCAGGGTTTTGCTTCCTATCGGAAACTTGCCTCTCACGAGTGGTTAGTGATGGTCTGGGTCACATGTCCCTGAGGGCATGTGGCAAAGTCATGCTCTGGCAGGAAGAGGTGCTTATACCAGCCCAGCATGGACCCCACGCCTGGCCTGGAAAAGGTGTACACACAGGAGCCTTGGGCCCCGAGGCACACTCAGCTCGTGGACAGACAAGCCTGTTGTCCCACTGTGTTCCCTGTAACCAAGTAATCCCCAAACTATGTTTTCTTCTCAAATCCCTGCAGCCAGGGAACTGGTCACTATTTCCTGTCCTCTGCTTGCTTCCATCTTCCCACTGCGTCTCACCCGACTCCCTTGTGCTTGAGTTTTCTGGTGTGCGTGCAGATTTGGCTTCCCTGCTCTGACTCCAGGGCCCCACCAGGAGTAGCCACTTCAAGCCAGACCTCCAGAATCGGGATCCCTGCTGTGCAGCCTACTATGCCATCAGGCAAGTGACTTTACAGTTCTGTAGCTCAATTTTCTCACCTGTAAAGTGGGAACAATGTTGCTACTTTGTAGAGTTGTCGTAAGAATGAAAAGAGATAGTCCGAGATGTGGCGGCAGCAGTCCCCAACCTTTTTGGCACCAGGGTCCTGTTTCATGGAAGACACTTTTTCCACGGACTGGGGTAGGTGTGGGGAGATAGTTTCAGGATGATTCAAGCACGTTACATTTATTGTGTACTTTATTTCTATTATTAGTACCTTATATAATGAAATAATTATACAACTCACCATATTGCAGGATCAGTGGGGAGCCCTGAGCTTGTTTTCCTGCAACTAGATGGTCCCATTTCGGGGTGATGGGAGACAGTGATTTATTGTGGTCTCTGTGCAGTCTCTCTGCTAATGGTAATCTGTATTTGCAGCTGCTCCCCAGCACTAGCACCACCGCCTCTGCTCCACTCCTGGTCACCAGGCATTAGATTCGCATAAGGAGTACACAGCCTAGATCCCTTGAATGCACAGTTTACAGTAGGGTTAGAATCCTATGAGAATCTAATGCCGCCGCTGATCTGACAGGAGGCGGGGCTCAGGCAGCGATGCGAGCGGTAGGGAGCGGCTATAAACACACATGAAGCTCTGCTCACTCACCTCCTGCTGTGCAGCCCAGCTCCTGACAGGCCACAGACTGGTATGTGTGCACGGTCCCTGGGGTTGGGGACTGTAGCCTGAAAGTGTTGACAGCAGTGATTGGTACATCGTGTTAACTAAGTTTTGGATATGATCGCTACACACACAAGTATACAGACACATCCCCGGCCCACCCCTTAATATATTTCAGTCCTGTCTTGCTGAGCCACCCACCTCTGTATACAGCACTGAGCTCTTCTATATAATTAGTATGTGTTTCAGTCCAAAATGATGTCATTTCCCCTGCAAAACAAATAAACCTCTCTGCAAAATAGTTGTTCCCACTGCTTCTTGGTTTGAATTTTCTAATCCCCCAGAGTAATAAAACTTATCTCTATGAGTATCATGAAACTTTCCAAGTGAATTAATTGGAGTTTTGTTTATTAAAAAAAATAACAACAGCATGTTCAGATGAGAGTGGAAAAAACTGATGCAGAGTGAAAAACAGAGTTAGGTAACAAACTCCTCAAAGACAGGGGGCTTGAAGGGAGGTATGAATGATCCTTCCTTCCTTCTTCATCCATTACCTACACATCCCATCCTCCTCCTCAACCATACATCTCTCCTCATCCATATCTTACATTCCTTTTCTTCCATAATATCCTTAACCATTTCTTCCTTCTTCCTTCTTCCACTCCCTCCTCCATCCCTCATCATCATCTCATCTCACCTCTCCCTATTTCTCCCCTCCTCATCCACTCAATACTCCCTCTCTTCCTCATCATCATAAATTATCTCCCCACATCTCTCTTCTCTCCTTCTTCTCCGTCCCTCACACTCTCCTCTCTCTCTTCTCCTCTCTCGCCCTCTCTCTATTTCTCCTCTTCTCCCTCTCTCTCTCCCTCCCTCTCTCCCCCTCTCTCTCTCCCTCCCTCTCTCCCCCTCTCTTTATTTCTCCTCACTCCTTTCCTCCTAGTGACAGTAGCAACTACTCAGAGACTCCTAACGCTTTTTGTGGAGGACAAAAATGTTTAGAAAACTCCACTCTGGGTTGGCTGTTTCCCAAAGGGAAGATCCCTTTCTGGAATATTCCTCTCTGTCCAGAATGAGACACCTTGCCTTGGATTGGGTTTCTTTTGGGGACATGTGTCTCTGCAGCTCCCTTTCCAGCTCCTTTGGTTGGTAGCATGTGGTGGAGACTCCAACCCTAGAAGCTGCACTGAGGTCTCTTGGCGTCTATCCAAGTCTGGGCTCTGAGGGGCTCATTATTTCTGTGTCATTCTTCGCTGGGCGTGCTCATCCACACGGGTTCTCCTCCAGCCCTCCCTCCAGTCTGTTCCATTCCCTGGAATTCCGAGGTGGTTGTATATGGAAGATGGGGTCCTTTCCAGGTTTCCTCACACCCTTGGGGCCCTTCCCAAGTTCCCAAGACCCGGTTCTCTCAAGTCAGAATTCCGGGCCCTTCCAGCGGCTTCAGAGAGGGCACGGCAGCTCACCCCTTTTTCTGAGCAGAGCTGGGGGTACGCAGAGCTCCTGAGTTCAGGCGTGGGTACTCACCAGAGCTGCAGCAGAGAGCCAGTGTGACCAGGGTGAGCGTGACAGCAAGAAGCTTCACAGTAGGAGGCTGGGGAGGCCCTGGCCTGTCTTGGTCTGGTGGTCTGGTGTGACACATGCCCAGCAGGGTGCCTTTTATGTGCTCCAGGCAGTGCCAGGAGGGAGGAGGGCAGGGCGGGGGCTCCCTGGACAAATCGGTTCTGGAACACCCATCGGAAACCTGAGCCCCAAGTCAGGCCGCATAATGCCTGCCCCAGGCTGGCTCTGTCCCCACCCAGAACTGCTTTTGGGTCCTTTCTCTCTGATGGCCAAATCGGTGGGCACCTTCAGTCCTTATCTCGCTCGACCTTTTAGTGGCCTGGACGCCGGTGACAGCTTCCTTCTTGACCTGTTCTCTCTCCTGCGCGCCCATGGCTCAGTTCTTTCCTGTTTTCCTTCTCTGACCATTCCTTCTTGTTCTCTTTCGATGTTTATTCTTTGCTGACTGTTCTTTAGTGTCAGTGGTTCCCAGGCTTTGGCCTTAGCCCGTCTTGCCTCCGGTTGCCGCGTCCTGTGGCTGCCACTTTCCTCTCCAGCACCCAGCCGGGCCCGGTCAAAGCAACTCCCCCTCGGCTTCCCGGACTCCCCTCTTGCTCTCCTCAGCCATCTCCCCAAGGCTGTTGCAGTGATCCTTCTAAAACCCGCTGATCATGTCATTGTCCTTCTTGAAACCCCTTTAAAGCTTCCTTTTGCCAGCAGAATAAAATCCAAGGGCAGTTTATAGGGCCTTGCCTACTGACCTTCACCTACCATTTCAACTTCATTTCTCCACTCCCTGGCATGGTGCTTTACCCCTATCTCGATATTTGTGGATTCACGAACCTTCCATGTTTTTTTTCCTGCCTTTCTACCTCTGCACAAGCTAAGCCTCACGCCTGGCATATGCGTTTCCTGCCTAGTCTGCTTCTCCAATCCTCAATCCTATACTCAAGACTCAATTGAGGCCGGGCGAGGTGGCTCATGCCTGTAATCCTAGCACTCTGGGGGGCCGAGGCAGGCGGATTGTTCGAGGTCAGGAGTTTGAAACCGGCCTGAGCAAGAGCGAGACCCCGTCTCTACTATAAATAGAAAGAAATTAATTGACCAACTAATATATATAGAAAAAATTAGCCGAGCATGGTGGCACACGCCTGTAGTCCCAGCTACTCAGGAGGCTGAGGCAGCAGGATTGCTTGAGCCCAGGAGTTTGAGGTTGCTGTGAGCTAGGCTGATGCCATGGCACTCACTCTAGCCTGGGCAATAAAGCGAGACTCTGTCTCAAAAAAAAAAAAGACTCAATCGAGTGTCCATCCATTCATTCGTTCAGCGTGCCCGGCACAGTGCTAGGGGCTGGGGACTGGGGTAGACGTGGGGAGGTGCTGCCTGGAGCCCCTTCAAGAAGAACTTGCCTCTTAGCTATGAGGAGCATGGTCGGCAGAGAGCCTCAGCGGCCAGTAACATCAAGGTCTGCCCCAGCTGCTGAGGATGGCCTTGCTCAAGGTCACACCCTTCCCGGGGCTGCTCGCATCTGGTGACCAAACAAGGGATGTAAAAGCCTGGGTGTTTCTGCACCACACAAACTCCCGTGGGTGCTACCGTCGTGCTCCCAGCCTGGCCAGTGGCGATCTCGCTGGGACTGCGTCACAGTTCAGCTTTTCCCTCCGCCCAATTCTGCTTCAGCCCCTTCCCTTTGCAGTACTGCTCCCTTATAGCATTCCAGCACCCCAAACTCTGTTTCGGCATCTACTTTCTTGACAGCATCCATCCACGGTAGGGACACAGCGATGAACGAACCAGACCCAGATCACCGCCTCCGTGGAGCTTTCCGTTAGTGGGGGAGACAGACAAGGAAACAATTGAACAAGTGAACTAATTACACACTGTGATCCGTGCTAGGGAGCGACTAAGCAGGCAGCTGGGATAGAAGAAAAGATTGAGAACTGCCCAGATGGGAGAATCAGGGCGCCCCTCTGAGCAGGCAGCGTGACGTTGAGAGCCGCAGGCAGAGAGGACTGTGGGCAGAAGGGACAGCCAGCACCCAGGTCCTAAGGTCAGAAGGACTCCGTTGTGCCTGAGGATCACAAACGGGCTGCCACACCTGGAGCCGCAGTGTACAAGATGCGCAGGACCAGCAGGGGCCAGATCACCCAAGGCCTCGTGCTAAGGTCTTTATTATGCTCAGAGTCATGGAAAGCTCTGGAAGGGCTTCAAGTAGGGAGTGACGTGGTCTGATTTCCCTTCTGGTGAGATGACCCTGACGTGGGCAGCTGGGGACATGGGTGCTCTTTTCTGACGTGGAGGAAACTTGGGGACAGCAGTGCTGGGGACAGAAGCAGAAGCAGAGTGATGCCTTGTCTGGCAGGCGGCTCTGATCAGCGGTCACTCTCCCCGCGGGCCTCTCTGTAGCCCTCTATTCAGAGCCTCCGCTGTCCTGTGTTTTAACTTTGCAATTCTTTATATCCTTGTACGACTTCTGTACTTGACTGAACTTCTTTAGGGCTGAGGCCTCTGTAAGCCAAGGTGTGTCATGCTTGCTAAACAGGAACCCCTGGAATGAACCAGAGCATGAGGTCTTTGCATCATGTGATAGTTGGAAGCCGTGGTGACGCCTGCACTGTCCCACTCAGAGAGGCCTTAACATGGTTAAGAGTGCAGGTTCTAAACTAGCCACCCATAAACACTTGTCCACTAAGTTACTGCGTGTCCATACAGTGAAACACTGTGTAGCTGAAAAAACAGAGAAGGAAGATCTGAACTGATAATGAAACGGTCTCCAAGGCCATTCGCAAAGGGGAAAAACAAGGCGCGGAACAGAGTGAAATAGAACAAACAGAACCCACGTGGGTATTCGCTTGTACAGGCCAACATATCTCCAAAGTGGGTGGGAATGGTTGCTTTCAGAAAGGAGAAACATTTGGAGGGAGCCAGGGAAAGAGGGAGACTTTTCACTGTAAACACTTTTATACCCTTTGAGTTTAGAAGCATAACAATAGATTACCGATTTATAACACATTTTTAAAAATAGAGAACAGGTCTGACACATGCTATGTTATGCGTGAACCTCGAGGACATCATGCGAGTGAAATAGGCAAGTCACAAAACGTCAAATCCTGTGTAATTCCCACTTACATGCGGTACCTAGAGTCGTCACATTCATAGAGACAGAAAGTAGAATGGTGCTTATTCAGAGCTGGGGAAGGGGACCGTGAGGACAGAGTTTCAGTTGTGCAAGATGGAAAAGAGTTCTGGAGATGGATAGTGGTGATGGTATTTAATTCTACTGAACCTAATTTTCCACTTAAAATTGGTTGGGGTGGTACATTTTTTGTTATGTGTATTTTACTGCAATTAAAAGTTGTAATAATGCCAATCTTACTAGGCATTAAAAAAAAAAAATAAAAAAATAAAAAAAAAAATAAAAGTTGTAATAAAAAGAGAGAACCGGTTTGAGAACGAGACTGCTTGGGTTGAATCCCAGACCCATGGCTTATTAACTGTATCATCATGGGCAAAGAACCTCACCCCTCCCTGCCTTGATTTCCTTGTCTATATAAGGAGGATAGCACTATAATCTGCTGCATCTGGCCACGGGAGCTGGATCTGTGTGAAGTGCCTTGCGTGGCACCTGGCATGGAGAACGTGCTCAGTGGAGGTGGCTCTTGGGTGGGCAGGGCTGCTTTGGGGCTGGGCCTGGCATTAGGATGAGCTTTTCCTTTGTTCCTGAGCCACCCTGCTGTGTCCATAAAACCACCTGGGGTCTTAGCTGAGCCCAACTCCTGGGCCTGGGCGGGGTTGAGAGGTGAGGGTACCTCCAGAAAGAGTTCTTCCGAGGTCCCCCTGTGAGGCGCCCCTGCGGGAAAGCTGTGGGGCCTAGAATGCCCAAGAGTGTGTGGTATACCCACCTTTGAGTCGAGTGAGGGTGTCTCCCTGTATCCTCCCCCAAACCAGCTGTTAGACGGGGGTGGGGTGTCTTCTGGATGCCTGGATGACCAGTGGCTGTGCCGAGAATGGCCCAATGCATGTCACTGAGACAGGTCATCGGGTCAAGAGCTTTAAGACGCAGCCTCATGAAAGCCTCATGTGCTTTGCTACCTCTCCAAGGCTGTGTGGGGGGAATCGTGCATGTCCTCTTCTTGTTTCTGTCATTTCTCTCTGTGTGCCCCTTCTCTGACTGCTTTGTCCCTCCGTGTTCATTCTTGGGCCTTCTTTACCCCTCCCCCTCCCCCCTTCCGGTTCATGGCCTTGGACAAAACACAGGTGCCTTCCTCCCCTCTGTCCTCGGAGGGCCCTTCCGGACCTGTCAGCCTATGGTCCTGGACCTTCTCTCTCTTGCCCCGCTTCCTCTGGGACCATCAGGGTCCTGAAGTTTCGTTATTTCCCTCATTTGGGGACTATCACAGATTCAGGGTGGTTATGCCACCAGGTTTTTTTTTTTTTTTTTTTTTGAGACAGAGTCTCACTTTGTTGCCCAGGCTAGAGTGAGTGCCGTGGCGTCAGCCTGGCTCACAGCAACCTCAATCTCCGGGGCTCAGCGATCCTACTGCCTCAGCCTCCCAAGTAGCTGGGACTACAGGCATGCGCCACCATGCCCGGCTAATTTTTTGTATATATATTTTTTAGTTGGTCAATTAATTTATTTCTATTTTTGGTAGAGACGGGGTCTCGCTCAGGCTGGTTTCGAACTCCTGACCTTGAGCAATCCGCCCGCCTCGGCCTCCCAAAGTGCTAGGATTACAGGCGTGCGTGCCACCAGGTTTATTTGTCAGGCACTTACCTAAGATTCAAGAAATTCACTGAAGGCTGAAAAGAAAACCTCCATAATATTAAGTGCCTTTTTCCTTCTGGGTTTGGCTCCGGGTCCAACCAGCTGGTCTCTGGAGGCCAGCCCATCTTTAGGGCTTCAGGTCCCCACCTCTCTTGGGGACCGTTGAAACGTGTGGCTGTTGGACCACCTGGGGCTCTTCCAGGGTTGCCCCTAGTGGGTCCCTCTGTGGGCAGTGGCTTGTCTGGCTGGGGCTGCGGTGACAGCAGTAGGACCCTGGGGTCTCCCAGGCACATGGTCCCTAGCCTGAAACTCTGCTCTCTACCTTCCGCCTTCAC